TGCTCTGAAGGAGTATATGAGAGCTCATGGTACCTGCCTTGAAACACGGGTTTCACTAATGCTAGTGGCTCACACTTCCCATTGAACAAGACTAGGGGTAGGAAGGCTATTTGAGGGACACAGCTATGGAACCATAGGTGCCACATAGTAAGCCAAATTTTCATTTGCTGTGTTGTTGTGAAAAACCTTATTAAAAGAGCTTCCAATGAGAGTACTTGATTAATAATGCAGTTCGTATCTATAGAAATAATTTGCTTTTCAAAAAAGTCATGTGTTACAGTTGAATTCACATTAAATTAATGTTATTCATTTTGAATGATCTGTGAAGTATTTTAAGAGAGATCTGGGGAAGTAAATCAATAAGTAGTTTAACATAAATCAAGGTGCAGTTAATTTTTTTCAATTAGAAATATATTACAAAGATCCTGCCATTTGCAACAACATGAAATAACCTGGAGGAAATTATGCTGAGTAAAATAAGCCAGACATAGAAAGATGCATATTGCTGATCTCCCTTATATATGGAATCTAGGAAAGTAGAATTCATAGATACATAGAAGAGTGGTCACCAGCATCTTGGGGGTGGGGGACATGGGGAAATGTTAGAGGGTGACAACTTGCAGTTACAAGGTGAATATGCTCTGGAGACCTAACGTATAGTACAGCATAGTTACTCTACTCAATGGTATTCTCACGACACCCTCCCAGCCCCCCACACACAGTAACTCTCTGAGGTATGGATATGTTAATTAGTTTAATTGTGGTAATCATTTCACAATGTATACATATACCAAAACATCACTTTGTATAACTTACATATGTACAATATTTATCAATCATACTTCAATAAAGCTGGAAAAATGCATGAATATTATGTATGTGTGTGTGTGTGTGTGTGTGTGTGTGTGTGTGTGTGTGTGTCAAACATTATAGCAGATTATAGCTCTTTGAAAAAGAATAACATTTCAGCTCAGTTCTAAGGCCAAACAAAAGGTGATAGCATGTTTTAGTTCCTTAAATGTGAATTTGAGGAGTCAAGAAATCTCCAAGTGTAGGAAAACCTCAGTGCCAAAAAGTGTAGAATATGAAAGAATCACAAAAATAGCATGCACAAAATAGCCTGCTATGATGTTCAAAGTATAGAGCTAGTAATTATTAACCAACATTTAGAATATAATGTAGCAGAACATATTTGGAACACATTTATCTGTTAATATTTCCAAGGAGAGATAAACGCAAATAAGATTTTCTTTAACGTTAATTGTTCTTTAGTTTGAAAAACGCATATACTCATATTTTTGTCGTCTGATTTTAACCAGCAAAAAGCAATAGCTGCCAAACGAAAGTCAAGTGAAGCTGTGAAAATAATTAATGAAACAAGTCTGGTAAAAGCATCTTTATCCTTCATACATGTTATAGGCAGGATTGTGGTTGTGTCTGTGTGAGTGTGGTGGGGTCAGTCAGGGGATAGGAAAGTTAGTTTATTCACATGATTCTCAACGTATATATACCTTGCAAATAATTGTGCAATTCCCTGCTTTGCAGACAAAATGTCTTTGAATCAATGTGTTTTATAAACACAAAAAAAAACCATAAACCTTTAAAGCATTTATGCACTTTAAATTGAATTTAAAGTATTAAACACTTTAATATTCAGAACTAGAAGAGAAACTCCAGTAAGGAGAAATGCTTTGGAGATTAAAATGTAAAGGAGATAACCAAATTTTACTAAACCTTCTGTCCATCATGACCACATTTCCTTTCATTCTAACATAACAATATTTTGAAAATTTTGAACCCCCCCCATTTTTACATGAGAAGTTTTAAATGCCAAGAACTTGCTTCTCACTTTTGAAGCAGGGTGCTTTCTTTAGGAACCAGTCTGTATCACATGCATTCTATTGGTTTGTATTTTATTATTTTTATTATATATCATTCTGTTACATTTTAAAATGCATTTCTGAGCCCATGCCATTGATTTCATGATTCATTAATGGGTTGCAAGCAGCAGTTGGAATAGCACTGGTTTAGGTAGTGGCAGTATAAATCACATGTTGGTGAAGTGAAAGATATCTTTCTACCAACACGGTATAATGACCACTTGATGCCAACATGGCAGTGTGTCACTTAAACCATATATCAATCAACATTGAAGCAACATGACCAAAATGGTTGTGCCATCATTTATAGAAGAAGATTGTGAGTTTCATGCAGCCAGGAATAATTGCATTGCTATTATAGAACTTAACATAAGTTGTAACTTATTTGATGGAAGGACACTAACAATCAAGAGTATATAAATTTTAAAAATAATGATACTTTTTTGGACAATTGGTAAGTACTGACTGTCTGCATTTTATCTAGAACAATATACGTTCATGATTAACCAAGAAAATATTGACAAAAATGTGCAATGAGTAGAGACTTGCCCTTGAAATTCCCTAAAATTAGTAGGAAGGTACAATGTTCTCCAGGAAATATTGGTAAGTGAAAAAACAAGGTTTACAATAGTGTGTAAGGGATGCTATCATCTGTGTAACAAAATGAGAAAAAACATATATACAATTTTTTGGCAAGAAGATACCCTGAAAATATAAACCAAAAAGCTAAAAAAAGAAACTTGCTGATGATACAGAACTTCTCTGACTGTATATTTTTCTCATAGTCTTAACTCTTATAATTACATCCATGTTTGACATTTTCAAAAGTAAAAGCACAAAAGTACATAATATATTCAGGATAAAACAAATGACAGTTTATATGAAGACGGTTAGAAGCCAAGGTTTTCATGGAAGTTATTAGTATGAAGTCAAGGTAGTACATTAAAATCCAGTAATGTTAATTGGATTTGGAGGTAACAGTATGAAATGTTTTCTCTAAAAATATACACAAGAATCTCTTGCTTGAGATCAGTAATCTATTCCCAAAAATAGATATTGAGAGCACGTTTCTGTTGTTCTAAATGGTAACAATTATAGTGAGTGGAAGGTAAACCAAAACATAGCTATTTCTTGTAGAATAATTGATACCTAATAACGCCTGTAGAAAAGTGACAAACTATCTTGATAAAATCTAAATTGTATATTGTTTCTTAATCATCCAGCAATTATTGCTGTTACTAACATACAGTTGCTTTGTATCTAGTTACATGGACTGTGTGTGTGCTGTACGAGAAATTGTTACTTTATGGCATTAGCATAGCAAGTAACACAGCAATCAAAAAGTTAAAAGTCAACATTTAAATAAAAGACCCATAATACACTGTTTTTCACCATGCTAAAGGAGACATGACCCTTGAAGAAACTCAAGAAGGGACAAAGAAGGGTCAAATCAGTCATTGCTGTTTGCAGAAGGTGATGGGTGGATGGAGGACAAGTGGGCAATCTTAGACAAACTGTCATATTAAGAGGAATGAAGAGACCTTCCCTATGTCTAGTACATGCTGTAGTGACTGCTGGACAGGAAAGCTTTGCTCAATCTTCAGAAATGATGTTCAAGCTGAAGGAAGATATTGAAGCTGCATTTTGGTTGCAAAATGCAGGTTTGCTTGTTTTTCTATTGAAAAATTCCTTCATGCGATGCTGTAAGAGTTATCAGGCTATTATTAAAAGAAAGATGTATTGTCACACTGAGTATGACTGCAAAACTTTCTTAGCAAATGGCCTGTTTGTTTATACTCAATGCACATGTTAAGGTGGCTACATAGGATTCTTACTCTGTTCTAAAATCAATTTGGAATGTAACTCAACATTCTTCCAGCACATAAAGTTGTTTACAATATTATAGAGTGTGAAAGACGTAAATAAATACTTCCATTTGATGTGTACACCAACATTAGATGAAAAAATGAGGTAGTGAGAAGTTGGTATGTATTCTGTAAATTAGGATATTTAAAACCAAAAATTCTTCTACTGGGTAAACATTAACTAGGAGAACATTCTACAGGATATACATGCATTTTTCTAGCTCTGCCCCCTGAAAAGATCTAGTAGTAATGTGATGTGATGGCACTAAACACTTCCGATTTCAAATGATAGCCTCTAAAACACTGTTTTCCAACAAAAAGAATTAGGGCTTCTGAAGAAATGGATGATTCCAGGTGTGGAGGAGAAAATGAGCAAGCTGAGCTTGTGATATATGTTCACCCCAGAGAGGGCTCACGTCACGTGGGCACCAACAGAGAGGGGTCTCAGGTAGCAACAGTGGGGCCATTGGACCATCAAAGGAGCAATTGGTGTACTTGATTGAAGCCTGTAGGTTCATAATTTTTACTAAAAGAAGGAAGGAAGGAAGGAAGGGGAAAGGAGGGGAAGCAAATGAAGAAAGGAGGGAGGCAAGGAAGGAAGCAAAGAGCTAGAACAACAACAAAACAAAATATCTTTGATAACTTTTTGGTGGAGTACAGAGTGGAAATTTTGCATTACTGGAGCCTTTACAACATGGGGATCTGTGATTCAGAAATAAGTCAGTAAAGATACATTTTACATAGATGTTTCATCCAGCATTGCTTGGAAAAGCCAAAATTGGAAATGATGTAGATAGTTACCTAAGAGATAAATAAAACAAATAATGATACATCGTTTGTATGGAATATTACATAGCCACCAAAAATAATGGAGCAGAACTCTATTCAATGACTTATAAAATTGTCCATGAGATATTGTATAATAGAAAAAATAAATTTCAAAGTAAAAGATCTTACCTTATATATTTCACAAGCTAAAACCCTATATGATTATACAAATCCACATGTTTGCCTTAAAAAGATAAAATCTGGTGTCCTATATGACCATACCACAAATAGTGATCACCTCTGGGGTTGGAATTTGATAGCAGTTGTAGGTAGAGATAGTTTGGAAGAAAACATTCACATTTTATTTCATAATTCTTATGTTTTTAAAGCTTTTTTATAAGCATTATTTTGATACATATGTGAGCAGAGATGGTCCCTTCTAGGTACCAGTCACACCATTGCTAAACCTCACCTGTTTCTTCCAAAGGTGCCAGGTGGCAAACAGGACTTGCCCCACCAATTACATGTGGAATAATCACATCTGCAGATGCCTGGCTCAGGAAGATTTTATGTTTTCCTCGGATGCTGGAGATGGTAAGCAGAATGATATTTTAAAGACTAAATGCCAAGGGTCTATATTGTGATTAACATATTCTACTATTAAAACCACATGTACAATATTCATCATTCTTTGAAATAAGTGACTAAAGAATAGTACATTTTCTACTTCGCATTGGTATTATTTTGAACTCCTTTGTAAAGGAACATACTCATGTTTGTACACAATCCTTTGAGGGAAAACATACAAAGGAAGATGCTTTTAGAAGCTTTTGTTTCATGCCACACCCAGAACCAAGTGAGGTATAGTAAAGATGCTCTGACTGTTTGTCTAGACTCAACAGATGGATTCCATGACATCTGTGGACCAAACAAGGAACTGGATGAAGAGACCTGTCAGTGTGTCTGCAGAGCGGGGCTTCGGCCTGCCAGCTGTGGACCCCACAAAGAACTAGACAGAAACTCATGCCAGTGTGTCTGTAAAAACAAACTCTTCCCCAGCCAATGTGGGGCCAACCGAGAATTTGATGACAACACGTGCCAGTGTGTATGTAAAAGAACCTGCCCCAGAAATCTCCCCCTAAATCCTGGAAAATGTGCCTGTGAATGTACAGAAAGTCCACAGAAATGCTTGTTAAAAGGAAAGAAGTTCCAACACCAAACATGCAGGTAAGAGATCCTCATGAAGAGTTTTAATTTCTCTTACTAGAAATATGTTCTAAACTAAAAACTGTTTTCTTAACCAAAGTAGCAATTGCTTGTTAGAATGAGGCCAATAAGTTCTGAAAGATAAAATCTTATTTTTTTTTAACCAATGCATGAGACTGAATTTGCTTCCAAAAAAAGCAAGATGGGAGCCTTGAGGATAAAACTAAATCCAAGTTCCGAATATACTCTAGATTAGTGGCTCCTGTGGGATGTTTTCAAAATACATCCAGGCAATCCACTCCACCCCCACCAAAAAGTATAATGCTTTCAGACATCACTTAGGACAACTGTTCTAAATGCAGACAATTTTTACGCAAAACTTACAAACAAAGGATAGGATAGTACCATTGACTATAGAATTATACCTGGAAATGAAAAGATTTAAGCTAAGTATTTGATAGAATTAGAGAAATAAATGAATATATTGTTAAAGGTACCCAAGCCTCATTTCTTAAACTTGGTTTTGCACTCTTCTCCACCAAGAAAAAAAAAAAAATGAAGTTACTGGACTCAAGCACATTCAGTGTTAATCCCTGAACCTCTTCCTCTTTAATCTCAGAGAATAAGGTGATCCTACTATTTAAGCCAGACCTGTGCATTTGACATTTTCTCCACATTCCTTCAACATTGCTTCATGCCATTCCTTCTTTCTTCTATAACTTCAACATCTTCAGCTCTACTTTTTTCCCCCTCAGTTTATAAAAGTTCCCAAATTTCTTCTATTTTATTAGCCTGTTACTGTGAAGCTGAGCATACTTTAGCAACCGAGCTCTGTCCTCTTCAAAGCTGCTCAAAAATGAGGCATTTGTTTTCACCTCTTTCATCTACCATGTATTCAACCAACTATAACCTGGTTTATGGCCTACGGTGCTATGTTAAACCTCTGTTTAAAGTTTCATTGGCCTCACAGTTACCAAATCCAACAGAGAATTTTGTCCTTAGGTAACCTGTCCTTTCCATGGCCTTTTTCTTCCAGCCCACCTCTTCTATGATGTGACATTGTACTTTCCTACTTGTATACTAAATTTTCAGAGCATTTGTTCTTAATCACTTTCACTCTTTTACATCCACTCTTTACATATGGGAAGATAATGTTCTTTTTAGCAAAAAAAGCTCGTATTCCATTTATTTACTACTATCTTCACTAATGTTCATTATTGTTTTTTCACAGTATATAACGAGTTCATCGTTTTATTCTCAAGAGTTTTGTGTCTTTATTGTAATGTATGTTTTTGATTATTTTCCTCAACTAATATTTCACCTACTGCATAAAATGGCTTTAGTGAATCTAGCTATCTCATTGATTATATTTTTCTTCCCTTATACTGCAAAGTACATCGTAAGTATTTCTTTTTTAGAAAGAACTATATTCCAATTTTACCTACATATTCCTACTGTAATAACCAAAAAGATATTTCAAAAATGTATATGCTAGTATTTTCAGAAGGATACAATCTTTTTAAGCCTTATTAAACTATGTTTTATATTGAATTCTTGAGTGAGTTTAGTATACATTGAAAAATCTGAAATTCCTATGTCTGCAATACAGACTAACCAGCTGTCATACTTTTCTACAGAATTCTTATATGAACACAGACAATATTTCTATCATTGCATTTCTCCTAATAGTATACATTCTTTCAAAAAGGCTTTCTGTTTACTGCAACTCATCCTATGTTCATTTTTCTAAGTGTGTAATTCCAGACTTTGTGATATAAATTGGAGCAAAAGAGAAAATATCATATTTTGAAAATTTATATTCTCCTCATTCTCTCTTAATATTTATTACAAAGTGCAGTGGGCAGAGTATATATTCTTTGGTTCATGGCCTTAATTAACAGCTTTTATGGATCATTAAGTATCATATCCCTTTTTAGTAGAGGAATACCAGTAGTCACAACTATGAATTCGCATTTGCAAAGTTTAAAAAAATTAACTAGACATGCTTTCTTTTCTAGAGCCAAATAAATGAAATATGAAAACCAAATTGTGTAGGGATTTTTGTAGCACACTTTCGATTTCCACCTCAGGTCATCTTGCACGTTTCCCTTTACACCTATTCCCGCACATTAGGCATGCTCATACTCCAAAAAGTTTTTCAAAAATAGCTCCAATTCTCACCAGGCGTGTTGACTCACACCTGTAATCCTAGCACTTTGGGAGGCCAAGGCGGGCAGATCACTTGAGGCCAGGAGTTCAAGACCAGCCCAGCCAACATGGCAAAACCTTGGCTCTACAAAAAATACAGAAAGTTAGCCAGGCATGGCCGCACATGCCTGTAATCCCAGCTACTCAAGAGGCTGAGACACAAGAATGACTTGAGCCCAGGAGGCGGAGGTTGCAGTAAGCCGAGATCGCACCACTGCATTCCAGCCTGGGCAACAGAACGAGACTCTATTTCAAAAACTGAGGTCTCAATTCACTGGAGCAACGGGGCAGGGGACAGATTGACCAGTTGGTGATTTGTCTTCTCTCTGCTACTAGAACCCGGCAGTCTAGGATGGGAGGAAGGGGACCCTACTGCTGAGTATTGTCCCTCTTACCTCCCTGCCCCAGAATGCCTCTGTTTCACCTGGAGCCCAGGTGGAAAGGAAGAGTTAGCCACCATCATGCAGCCAGCTGCCAAGTAGAGACACAAGAGTGAGGGTGGGGCTGCTCACTGAGGACCACAGTTCTGCCAACATGGCTGGTTTAATTGCCTGGAAGTCTGGGTCCCATACAAGTCCCAGACTCATGTGAATTCAGCCATGCTTATGTGATCACAGTAAGTCAGCAGACCTTCAATGTTCACTTTCAAAATTTCTGTTTTATGTTTCTTTCATCCATGAAGCAAAGAGCACTTCAAAGGAACTAATGCTTACAATACCTCATCCTTCCTTCCATTTGTTATATCACCAAGCAAGACTTTTATTTTAAGGCCTTTCCATTCCTCTGAAATGTTGTCATTCTAAGCAGAAACAAACTTTTATAAATCTATGAACAATTGCATCATAAAATTAGTAATTTTGTTCTAGTCTGAAATATAAAAACACTGAAACACCTTGGTAGCATAATGAATCCACTGCCTTGATCTTTAACATAAGTGTGTTCTTGTTTGTTCTCCTAGCTGTTACAGACGGCCATGTACGAACCGCCAGAAGCCTTGTGAGCCAGGATTTTCATATAGTGAAGAAGTGTGTCGTTGTGTCCCTTCATATTGGAAGAGACCACATATGAGCTAAGACTGCACTGTTTTCCAGTTCATCGATTTTCTATTATGGAAAACTGTTGCCACAGGAGAACTGTCTGTGAACAGAGAGACCCTTGTGGGTCCGCGCTAACAAAGACAAAAGTCTGTGTTTCCTGAACCATGTGGATAACTTTACAGAAACGGACTGGAGCTCATCTGCAAAAGGCCTCTTGTAAAGACTGGTTTTCTACCAATGACCAAACAGCCAAGATTTTTCTCTTGTGATTTTTTTTTTAAAGAATAACTATATAATTTATTTCCACTAAAAATATTGTTTCTGCATTCATTTTTATAGCAACAACAATTGGTAAAACTCACTGTGATCAATATTTTTATATCATTCAAAATATGTTTAAAATAAAATGAAAATTGTATTATAAGCTGCTAAGTTCAGTCCATTATCATCTTACATGATGAACGAAAACTGCTATCATGAAGACACTGATCTTTCTCTGCCCTTTCTTCTTCTCTAACCAGATGTCACATATGTATTACTATGATAAAAGTATGATCCTGTGAAAGCCAGTGTCAGAGGACAACAGAATGCTATTGCTTCATCTCTTATGAACATTTTAGCACAGGATACTTTTGAATTTATAACCAAGTGAATCAATATGTAACATCTTGTAAAATAGACTGCTCAGCATTGTGATTAAAAGTCATTCAGTACTCTGGGAACATTCAGAATCTTACCTTGGTAGAAAAGCCTGCAGTATATATTAAAGTAGCTTTAAAATATTTTCACAAAAATAATCTTTTCCAAATATTTGATTTCTTCTGGCCAGCTAAAATACTTTTTGTGAGTGGAAGTGCTTCTATTCAATACATTTATAAAAAACTAAAAATAATATTTAAATGCTCATGCATGTTTAAAAGGAAACATTTCAGCCACACAATTGAAGTGCTTGTTTCATTTTCAAAAAGGCATTACACTAAAATACCTTTATTTTTATATATATATATATATATATATATATATATATATTTTTTTTTTTTTTTTTTTTTTTTTTTTTTTTTTTTTTCTTGAGACAGTCTTGCTCTGTTGCCCAGGCTGGAGTGCAGTGACGTGATTTCAGCTCACTGCCCCCAACCTCTGCCTCCCGGATTCAAGTGATTCTCCTGCCTCAGCCTCCTGAGTAGCTGGGATTACAGACAGGTGCCTCCACACCCAGCTAATTTTTGTTTTTTTAATATAGATGGGGTTTCACCATGTGGGCCAATCTGATCATGAACTCCTAACCTCAAGTGATCCACAGACGTTGGCCTCCCAAAGTGCTGGGATTACAGGCATGAACCACCATGCCCAGCCTAAAATACCTTTTTCTAAAAGAAATATTTTGTCTGCATAAATAAAACCAAATAAGTGGTTTGTTTGTTGACAGAGAATTATATACTGATATGTCATAACTACTGTATAAAAATAATTAGTCCTAAAAAGAGAAAATATTCCTCATAAGCATGTAAAGATAGCACATTAACTAAAACATTTTTTTTTTGTTTTGAGAAGGAATCTCGCTCTGTTGCCTAGGCTGGAGTGCCGTGGTGCCATCTCAGGTCACTGCAAGCTCCGCCTCCTGGGTTCAAGCCATTCTCCCGCCTCAAGCCTCCCGAGTAGCTGGGACTACAGGCGCCCACTAAAACATTTTTGACTGGTATAGGTGACAAATCAGTATGATACAAAATATCAGTATCTATATATTTTGCTACAAAATAATGTTTCCTTTCAAAATTTTTAATTAGGAAGTCAGTGCCCTGAAAATATAGTGTTTTCAATACCAACTTTAAAAAATGGTTTTAATGCAACGGTTACTGAATTCCAGCTGTGTGCTCTGTACAGCATTATCATCTAGTTCATGAAGTGAAGTTTTTAATGTCCTGGAAAAGAAAAGGAAAGCAGTCTTCCAAAACACTCTTGTTTACAAATTATAGACATTTTTCTATTTTTTAGTAACAATGGATCTGAAGCTTGTGAGCAGTCAGCATATACCTTGGGCATTCTACATACTGGCTAAGGTCTAGAAAGTATTCAGACTTAAGAACAGTAAGAAAAGAAAAAAAATGAAAAGTAAATTTGACAACGGGTGATTACAAAACGAAAATTGGGATCAAAATAACCTCTTTTCATCTTATAGGGAATCACTAGTACATGGAATCACTAGTATATAAAATCCCTAGTATATAAAATGCTCCTCCTCATCTTTGAAATTCAGCTAAGATTCATTTTTTCATCTTATTGGAGCCAAAAAGAATATAAATAAACATATGTAATCTGTTACTGTTGATCTGGCCAATCATTTTTAGATTTGATGTATTTATTAATTTTTAAGCTAAATTAGAAATAAAATATATTCTAAGTTTCAGTAAGCACCCTGAGGCCATGCAAAGAATAGTAGACCCTATACAATGACTGTTATATGTTATCAGATTTAAAAACCAACTAAACTGTGTGCTAAACGTTAGTTTTTTGCGGTAAACCAAAAAATGAAAACACTAAATCAAAAAGTAAAGCCTGAATCATGCCAAAAAAACTATTTAATCTTGTCCCTGGAGATGTAATAATTTTGACCAAAAGTGAGAGTATCATGAACAAAGATAACACATTGCCAAAGATACTTGCAAACGATTTTATGTAAACCGTAAAAATCCCTCTTCAACACATAATGAATGAGATGTTGTGTAGCCAGCGAAGAAAATGGACTAAAGATAAAGCTAAGCAATTAATTAGATTAACAAATGTGATGCAGCAAAAAAGCTAAAAAATACAGTGAGAATGTTCATAAACTTTGCAGAAGAGTCCTCAGATGCCAATTCAGTCAACCTAAATGATAAGAAAACTCTGGAAGTTCACAGCCGTTATCATTTTGGAGCAGTTAATATATCCAAATCTTAGAAAATTTATAAACAGAACTTTATGTCCAGAAACCTAATAGCGCATACTCAGTTTAAAAGACTCGAGGAAAAAATGTTTTGGTGAGCCGTTGTGTAAGATTTATCATCCAGATTTTTGGGGGGAAAGCTTTTGACATTTACTAACTGCTTGACTGAAACAGATTCCTTTATTAGAATTTCTAAAAGTAAACTTTGTTCTTTATATTCACACCACTCAAAACAGAAGTTTGAGTGGCAAATACAAGACTGGATTCAGTGGCATATCTAGAATGCACTTTAAAGAAAAGATAAAGGTCATGAACTTATCTCTATGCACTAGGCTTTCTCAAGGGATACCCTGCTTATGAAGGAATTTTACTCGATGGATGAGAGAGAAGAAGCAGACACAACAGGTGAGAGAGTTCATATTACAGCAATTCTTTCAGCATATGGCAAAGCTTACAAAACTCCTTACTTACATGCTGAAATTCCCATGTCTATCTGTCTAGGAAGTGCTGGGGCTAAGAGAATACACAGGTCTCTTGGCCCACACCCTTCTACATTGCTATGCTGTCCCAAGATCGGAGTTTTCATTAGCAGGTTTTCCAAAGGATATTTTTTAGGGACTTTACCTTTTCAATTAAAAATGAGAGTAACATAAATATAGTATTTCACTCTGCTACAGAAGAAAGAGCATGAATGTGTCTGATTTTTTTCTAGATGAATTCTAGAGAGTCCTGAATAAATCCATTATCGTATTCTAAAAGTGTCTATCGTATACCCAAACAATTTAAGGAAGTCAGTGACACATACCGTGTTTTAAAGTAGTTACTTATGAAAGAATTACTAATTTATCTGTTCATATGTTTGAATTGTTGGTATATATGGACATTTTTAAAGTGGAAAGTAACTATCTGCTAACTTCTGGAAGTGTGAGCCAGTTTCATGCGGTCTTTTCATTCCATACCTAACAACTCCTTGTCTAAAGAAGTATAGTGTAATAGAAGGAGCTCTGGATTGGGAATCCTAAACTAAGTTTTTAATCCTTACTTTTCTGTGTCCCTGGGCAAATCACCACCTCCCGAGTCTCAGCATGTTAATCTGTGAAGGAAAGAGTTAGATTAAAATTGTGCATGAAATCCTGGCTCTGAAGTTACAAAGTTTGTTCTAAACTACATACAAGGGAAAATCAAAACCAGAACATTTTAAGAACTCCAGAGACACAACATTCTTGAGATTACTGACCCCATTAAGGGGAAATATTTATCCTCTACAAATGTTGCATGTAAGAAATTATAAATGAAAAACCTATCAGCCTTATACTATAATTCTAATTCTACTTCTTAAATCCTCACATATTTCCATAGCTCAAAGCATCATTCTGATTTCTTCATATCAAAGGTGATCATGGATAGAGACTTTGAAAAATTTATTTTCAAACATCTTGAAAAAAATTAAACCATGCAACTTTCATAAGGAAGCAAAAATTAAGACTTCTTGTGCATGCTTTCCAAACCTCAATCAGATGCACATATACTGTATTCAGTCCAGGCAAGGCCTTTGAAGCAAAAATCGATTTCTAATGTTGTTACCATCTGGCATTCTGATGATAGGATTTCATTAGGGATTGGGCCTTTGTCTCTGAGACTTGACATCTATATAATTGTAAGTACAGAGGTCAAAATGTTGGATGCTACCCATAGACTCACCCACCAGGACTGATTATATATCAGACTTGATGAAACATGACGATGACTGTTCACACTAACAGCAATAACTGTTTGGACTGGATAGAAATGATGGCGAAACACTGTTAAAAACTTCTTTAAAATTAACTAAGTAATGAATGTCTGGCTAAGAATTGAAAATGTCTCAAACAAAAATACTTAATTTTACAACGAAAATTTATAAATACTTTTAAAAGGAGAAGAAAGTTTTCAGGAATATTCAACACCATTGGACTTTATAGCAATATTTTTAATGTGCCATTAAAGTCATGTGGAATTTTTTTCATCATTTTAAGGCAGCTGTGCATCCTTTTAGCCTTTTTGAACGTTCATTTTCTTATATTCAAATATATATGGTTTATATAGCTCTGTTCAGCAATTTTTTTTTTTTTAAAGA